CTTGAGGAAGCGGTTAATAACTAAGGCACTAAGAATGGGATGAAAAGTATTGATAATAGTGAATATTTAGTAAATACTAATGCTAAGGACTCATTTAAGAACTCTCCACATACATTATGACATTTAAATCCAACAACAAACCCATTTTAAAAATGAAGAGCCTGAGGCTTGGAGAGGTTAATTTGTTTAAAATCATTTGTAGTTAGTAGCAGTTAAAGTTAAATCTAAGCATGGATTAAGAAATGCAAATTGGTTGTTACAAAATAATCATGGGGATGTAAAGTACAGCATAAGGAATATAGTCAATAATGTAATAACTAGGCATGGTGCGGGATTTATTGGGGGGAATCACTAAGTTATATAATATCTGATCACTGGGGTGTACCTGAAACTAATATAATAATGTATGTCAACAGTAATTAAAAATTAAAAAATGATTTAAAATAATAACAAAAATATCTCAGCAAAAATGTCTAAACCTAAGAAGCTTAAAACTCAGCTTTTAATCACTAAAATTTACTTAAATTAGAATATAAGAATTTCAATACGCTTTAAAATAAAGAGATGTCTACTATTATAACTTTTTTGTTAAAAAAAAATACTATCTAAACTTTCAAAATCAATGTTTGCAGTAAGATCCTACCATAAAATGGGAAAAAAGAGTATAAACTTCAAAAATGTGCAATACAGAATGCTTACGACAGTGTCATTTTTTCTATAAAGTCAATTTCAGCACATGCTTATATGTCTAAATATTGTTGTTTTTAAATTCTCACCCAAGGACATGTTTTTATTTTTATTATTTTAAGAAAGGAAGGAAGAGGGAGAGAGAGGGAAACATCAATTGGTTGCCTACTGTACTTGCCCTTACAGGGGATCGAACAGGCAACTTAGGTATGTGCCCTGACGGGGAATCGAACCTGCGATGCTTCGGTGCCACGGGACAACACTCAACCAATGGAGCCACCCGGCCAGGGCACGACAGTGTCACCATTAAGAAGTGGAGACCAGTGATAACGAAGACCAGGCAGGGGCGTCTGCAGCCTGAAAGCAATTCGATTTATGCAACTTCGAAGAACAAAAGCGTATTCTTCTAAGAAGAAATCAAAACACATTTTCTGTGGAAAAAAGAAACCACTCTAACGGCATTGCCAAAATAAACCAGGTAGGGGCAAGTCCGATCTCTGCTGCACAGGCCAAGGAGACCGGGCGGAAAGAATCAACTGATTTTGTTTTTTAAAAAGAGAAGGAAAGAGAGAGAAATCCTGCCCCAGTCTTGATAACGTTGTTTAGAATAATAAGTCTGGTTTCTAGTACCAGCCACCTAATTTAAAAAAAAAAAATAAAGAAACCTAACCAATGAATAGACATATTTTAAATATTTGAATCAATTCTACACTAAAACAGGCATAACAGTAAAATGATTTGGCCAAAAACCCAAATTGAAACAAAAACATTTCTCAGGGAAAAGAAAACCTCTAAACACTGTATTAAATTGCACAAAAAACACGTAATCCTCCTGTCTTATTGTATTAGTCATAGTTTAGAGCACATCTTTCAATTCAGTCCAGAGCCAGAGGTTTGGGCCCAGGAGGAAAAGTTTCAGGATCTTGCCTCTTGGAAAATGAAGTTGTTAAATATGCTAAACACTCTTTCTGGGGATGAGAAATATAAAATCCAGCAAGAAAACTTTCACTGAACACATACATGTTTTTAAAGGTCAGTGAATATTCCCTGCGGTCCATTTAGAGTCCACTCCCTGCTGGGTCCTCAGACACGGTCACTCACCAGGTCCCAGCCCCAGCAGACCCCACCCACAGGACCTGCTGCCCCAGGACCTGCTGAGCCGGGAAGTATAGGCCTCCAGGCCAGGCTTGCCTGGGTTGGACTCTAAACTCCCCAGATGCTTGCTGGGAACTCTTATTCCATGAATCATGAGCATTCATAGTATTCTCTCTACTTCTGAGTTTGTGTGAAAATTTCCATAACAAAATGTTAATTTTAATTTCAAAATGAATTACCAGTGGAGGGCTAGGAAAACGCATTCCCTTCTTGAATCATTCCTGAGCCGATTTGGACGATGCAACACAATATGACTAAGGTCTACTGAGAGCCAACTGCATGCCACTCTGTTGGCACTTGCCTTAGTCAGTAAATGTAATATCCTATTCACATCAAGGGAGCAGAGAACAGGCAGTCAAGTACAGTTTCCTAGTGGGGAAGTGAGGACGTGAGCATCTGTCTTCTGATCAGATTCAATGCTCTCTCACAAAATCCTGTGCATGGTTATGTGCTTTGCAGGGAACATCACATTTAAACCAGTTAAATGAGGCCAGGATGTCAGATGATTAGATCAAATTCCTATAGTCAGGTACATGTGGACTAAGAAAACCAGCTGAGCAATCCTAATTCTTTTAATCTCCCTAAATCTCCAGGTCCTCTCTCCAGGCAGCAGGCCAGGCACCCTGACAAGGCTCTAATCAGGCTGAGCGTGGCACTTCCTGCCTGAAGACCAGCCGTGCCTTTTCCGCATGGTCTGCTCCGTCTCTCCACACACTGTCATTTGCAGACGCACTAAACCCAAGCTCACTTTACAGCTAAGCTGGCTGGGCCTTCCTCACCCAGACTTGCATGGCCAGACGCTTCTCTTCCCGGCCAGACGCTTCTCTTCCCAGCCAGACGTGCCCCCACGACTAATCAGAATGCTTCTCTAATTTACCAGTCACTTAGGATTCCAATCCCAACATCTAAGGTCCCATCTACCGTCTGCTGTCTGTCCAATAAAACTGTCTGCAATGCTGGACATGTTCTGTCTGCACTGCCCAATATGGCACACCCTAATTTTTTTCCAAATAGTTTTTATTGATTTTAGAAAGAGAGGAAGGGAGAGAGAGAAACATCGATGTGAGAGAGAAACTTTTAATTTCTTGCACTAGAAAGCCTATGCCTACAGAATTCAGGAGTGCATTCTCCCAGAGTACTCCCAGGCCATGCCCAACCCCTCGGACCTGGGAGATTATCAAAAGCCACTTCTTCCCGCAACTCAGGAACACCGACCAGAAGTGCAGGAACAAATACTAATCAGCGGCACTGACTGAGATTTCCATGCGCCGGGCCTTGGGCCTCAAGTTATTTCACGGAAATCTCACTGCCACCCTCGGAGCAGGTAACACTATTTCTATTTTCCAGTGAAGAAAGTGAGGCATGAAAAGCCAAAGAACCAAACCCTGGCAGGGTAGCTCAGCAGGTTAGAACGCCAAGGTTATGGGTTGGACACCTGCATGGGACACATACAAGAGACAACCAGTGAGTGAATACATGAACAAGTGGAACAATAAATCAATGTCTCTCTTTCTCTCTCTCTAAAATTATTTTTTAAAAGCCCAAGCAACTTGCCCAGGTCCCGGAGCTGGTGAGTGGCAAATTGGGATCTGAGCCTGGCCGCCTAATCCGGGGCTCAGGTTCCACCTTGCTCTTTCCCAGGGCCTCCAGAGACCCCGGCAGCCCACTGCCCACGCCCGCCCTCCCCTCCCTTTGCCTTCATGTGCAGGCTCTCATCAGAGCTCTGGACCACGATCGCTCCCGAGTCCCTTTTACGTATAATAAGAAACATGAAAAGGATGAATGCTATTCAAGCCAGAACAGAAAGAAAGGAGTAAGATAAAAGCTAAGCCAGTATCAAATTAATAGGGGCTTCTTTTTTTTAAAGCAATAACGTATCTTCCAAAATTAAAACTGCCCAACAAGAAGCGTTTACTTTTGCTTTGAAATTGCTTTGAAATATTTGGTGGAAAGAGTAATATCCCTATTGGGAGTGTTTTAAAATGATGGTACATTGAAGAAAACTGGGTTCCAATTCAATTAATGGAAGAAGCTTCTCTAGCCTTTTACAAACCACGGTTTACCTAGACATGATGACAAGGTTCCATTTCATTTGGTCTGCATGATTTTTTAAAAGAAATTTAATATGCTGCTAATGTTTAAAAACCTGCGGTGATTTCACATTTAAAAAGCCTAGACTTCACTTTTTTTTTGCGTAAGATCTAGCAACATTAAGTGACTTCTGGAAATGCAAACTGATAAATGGCTTATGTGATTTCTGGTTTGCCACAATCCCCACCACTCCACATTGCCTCTTTATCATGTAGGCCAAGCTTCAGGAGGCACCCAAGTTTGTGGCCTCAGGACACACAAGTGATCACATTCAGTCCTCTCCAGTCCGACCAGTTGCAGGAAAGCATTGTCATTTCCCTGCCAAGTCATTCCTATTCTCCCCCACACCTTGGAGAGGCTCCCAGTACCCCACCCCCACCAAGCACCGCCCCAACCCCAATGCCACCAAAACTACACTCACCTACAGGTGGACACACCAATATCTCCCACGGGAGGATATGGACAGGGAGGTGTGGGCTCTGGCCATTGGGCAGCAGCTCCACCGCCTCCTCACCCAGCTTCCCAAAGACGGGCCCAGAGCCCAGCTCTACAGAGGACCTCAGCCCCTCCATGGACCATCCGACAGGGACTGCCTGGTCACCATGGAGCCTCCAGCCACAACAGACCGATGACATCCCAACATTCCATCCAGAACCAGTCAGAAATGGCAACCCTGATTGGCCATCAGTGAGATGGCTGAGATGGGGGAAGATTTGTAAATAAAATGTCCTCGTCTCCATGACTACCAAATGATCATTCTCCATCTCTACCTGTATGTTTTGTATCAGTATAAATGAAAATATAGTGAAAATAGCAAATAAAATAAAATAATAAAGTTAATATTTTTTCCCTTTCCCTACTCCATTTTCAGGAAGCATATCACGGAACCTAGCCCATCCCCTAGGGAATTACGCTTCACCTTCTATAGAGAGGAGTATCTAAATATACTATTGGAATTCTGTAAGGAAAATTTGTCCCTTCTATTTACTTATTTATTGCATTATTTACATCAGTAAAAACACACACACACACACACACACACACACACACACACAACGACAACTCACCTGCTACTCTGTGCCTCTCCGTTCTCTCTTCTGAGGGGTCACAGGCACCTCCCCATTGACGCTCTCAGTCCCACTGACCGACATCAAACTTCTCCGCTCCTTCTGATTGGACTTGTGTTCCACCTTCGTAACTCTAAACCTGAGGGGCAGAAAGGGTATGTTTGCTCTTTCAGGAAACAAGAATGATGAGTAAATCAAAAACCACCCACCTAGAGGATCCCAAATGAACTCAGCCAAAAGTCAGGACAGCAACAGAAGACACCCCAGTCAACAGTAAATTCCCTGTCCCTGCCCAACGTCCCGGTTCATTTTCACTCAGCACATCACAGACAATGCTGGGCACTTCACAGAGCATGGAAAACGCATTACAGACGCGGTACCCAAATATCACTCAGCCTCTGAGTTGTGGTTTCTAACGACCACATGAGCTTTAACATCTGGCTGGAGAAAAACATAACCAGTTTGCAAATTAGACGAATGTAATGACGTAACCAAAATGTTCACTCAGAAACTGCCTTAGTCAAAGATACATTTGTCAGAGGGTCAGCTCTCTCTCTCTCTCTCTACACACACACACACACACACACACACACACACACATAGCCATAGAAGCCCCAACTATGTATTTTATCAGTATCAGTTGGTAGTAGGGTTTTTGTGCCTAGTTTTTGTCTTTTTTCTTTAAAGCAAATTTGGATTAATTTTCATTAAGGATTATGGAAAAAAATTAAAGAAGAGATTTTTCATCAAGATTGAGAAGTTAAAGAAATTTACTCAATTTGACTGTTTTTCCATTTCTAGTCTATTGTCACGAATCCCTAAGGTCTTTCTCATAATAACTTCTCTCTAGTTCTGGCCTTAAGTTCCCTTAAAAGTATCTCAAATAAACTCTTCTTTGTCCAAAATGAGATCACCCACCATCAGGAGGAGAGGCGGAGGAAGTGAAGGAGGACAGGGGAAAGGGTTACCAGAACTCTGTTCTGTCGCACTGTGACACGCTAAGTAACCCACGCTGACGCCCCTAGCATTCTGCATCCCAGAAGGAGACTTGCACTGGGGGCATTTAATTGAATCGGAGTTGAAAATTTCAGCAGATTTTCCTTTAAAGCAAACAACATTCGCTTTATCCAAACAAGCTACAGGTTCTGGTCGCATTCCACACTCATAAACTCCCATGACTCTGCTTCTTAATAAAGCAGCGTGGTCATGGGTTGCACTGTTTTGCTGGAAGTGGCAGACAGCCCAGCAGTCTACCCCTCATTGCTGGTGCAACACATGATGAAATTCAATCGAATTAAACAAACAGTAATAACAGCCAACATTTCTTGGGTGCATTGTAAGTGCCAAAAACTGGCCTAAAACTTCTACATGAATCATCCTATTTCGTCTCACAGCAACCCAATGAGGTGAGTGTTGTTGTCATTCCCAACTTATTAAGGGGGAAATGAGGCACAGAGAGAAGCAAGAGCTTTTAAGTCGTGGTGCCGAGACTCAAACAAGGGAGATACAATGCGTCCAGGCTACGCTTCCCAGTCTGTCAGTAGAGAAAGAAGGATCATAGATGCCCTACTGTCAACTTTGCTCGGTGCCTGCGGGGCCTGGTCCAGCACACACGCTCTTAACCGATGTGGCAGTAGCAGTGCAGTTCCCGCAGGAGACTCAAAACCAAAACCGCAGACACCGAGAAAATGCTCTACACATAGTCAAGCTGTTCATTACTTGAACTGCAAGATCCACATCACATATGAGTCACAAGTAAATGGTACTTTAGGGCTCGGGTGAGGTGAGCGCAAAGAAAACAGTCTCAGGAATGCACATGGAGCCGACGTGTGGACTCCTGGCCCACCGGGAGGTGTGGCCGAGTGACTGAGCTCTAGACAGTGGAATGCGAGTGGAAGGAAATGTGCCATCTCCAGGCCCATCTCACTGACACCTCTTAGGAGCGGTCCTCCGGCACTTCCTCCTCCTGCTAGCGAGCCTGGCAGAGCGCCGACGGAGAAGCTGGGGGCTCTGGGTGACTGCTTGAAGAGACACCCACCCACCTTTCCATCTCCACCAGGAAATAGAAACTTCTATTCTGCAAGTAGTTCGGATTGGGCTTTTTTCCCCCCATCACCATTTATCCCCTCTCGCCCTCTTCCACCTCCACCCTGCAATCACCACACTGTTTCCATGTCCATGGGTTCTCTCTCTTTTTTATTACAGCAAGTGTGTGTGTCAACTTTACGTGACAACTTGACTGGGTAAAACCGTTATTTCTTGGTGTGTCTGGGAGGGTGTTTCCAAACAGATTAGCATTTGCATTTATAGTCTGAGGATCACCCTCCCCAGTGTGGGTGGGCATCGACCAATCCCTTGAGGACTTGAATACAACACAAAGGCAGCGGGAGGCTGAATTTGCTCCTTTTGCTGGAGCTGGGCCAGGTGTCTCTCCTGCCCTCAACATCAGCCTACTGGTCCCCAGGCCTTCAGGCTGGGATCGGGCCTACACCACCGGCTCCCCTGGCCCTCGGGCCTTTGGACTTGGACTGAACTACACCACCAGCTTTCCTGGGTCTCCAGCTCCCAGCCAGCGGCTCAAGGGACTTCTTGGCCTCTATAACTACATGAGCCAATTCCTATACTAAATCTCCACTTATTTCTATTTATATCTATCTTCTTGGTTTTGCTTCTCTGAAGAACCCTAATACAGCAAGTAATTAGTTTTTTAGCTCAATTAATACAGCTGACATCTGATCTTGCAATAGCCGCCTCTTAGGATTCCTCTGCTGTTGGAAAAATATAGAACTCAGACCTGAAAACTCCTAAAAAGTCCAGAGACATGACTTGATCCAGGCTAAGGAGAACAGTTCAGTACAGATCCGCACAGCACAGCAACCACATTACACACACCCGAAGCCTCCACAGGAATCTTACCTGCCCACAGAGAGGACCGTGACCTCCCCTTGGCGCCTCGGGCGGCCTTCTTTGGACTTGTTGATCTGTTTTATGAAGTGCCACCTCTTGTGTCTGCACCGCTGACACACATCTCTCTCGACAGCACCGCCCACTGTGTGCAGATGGTGGCCACAGATGTGCTTCCCTGGCGTGCCACCTGGTGACAAGGGCCCGGGGCTCACAGGAGGGCTCCCAGGAGTGCTGGGGGTCACGGGGCTAAGATGGGAAGGAAAAAAAAAGGTAGAAATGGTTACTTAAAAGAAACACCAGCTAAGGCAGTGGTTCTCAACCTTCTGGCCCTTTAAATACAGTTCCTCATGTTGGGACCCAACCATAAAATTATTTTCGTTGCTCTTCATAACTGTAATGTTGCTACTGTCATGAATCGTAATGTAAATATGATATTCAGGATGGTCTTAGGCGACCCCTGTGAAAGGGTCGTTCGACCACCAAAGGGGTCACGACCCACAGGTTGAGAACCGCTGAGCTAAGGCAATCTCTCCCCCTGCTACATAAGAAGCAGATTTGAATCAAAAGAAAAAAAAATGCCTCTTCCTATTAAACAAATGAGCTTTGTGTACTAGTCTTAGGCAGCAAATTCCTCTTAGGACTATGCAATGACAGCTCATTTTAAATTGCAATAATGTGATTTATCACTTCAAGAATGGAATTAGCCCTAACCAGTTTGGCTCAGTGGATAGAGCATCGGCCTGCGGACTCAAGGGTCCCGGGTTCGATTCCAGTCAAGGGCATGTACCTTGGTTGCAGGCACATCCCCAGTGGGGAGTGTGCAGGAGGCAGCTGATCGATGTTTCTCTCTCATCGATGTTTCTAACTCTCTATCCCTCTCCCTTCCTCTCTGTAAAAAAATCAATAAAATATGTATATATATTTTTAAAAAGAATGGAATTAAACACTGCTTCCAATGATGATGCACTGTTTGTCTTTGAAGTATTAGATTTCATTCTAAACAACTGATCTCCATTCTCATGTGATCATACTAATTTCTCACACAGAGCAAAGTGCCTGCCTAGATTTCTAAGCAATGAGATGCCCTGGAGGATTGATAAACTTAAATTCCAATCCAATTACCTAATGACTTAAGATAGAATATTTGACCCAATTGACTATTGTATCAAAAAAGAAACTTTTATCCCTGGCTAGTGTGGTTTAGTTGATTGAAGCATCATCCCATACACCGAAGGGTCGCAGGTTCAATTCCCAGTTGGGACATATAACTAGGTTGTGGGTCTGGTCCCTGGTTGGGACACACAGGAGAGAGGCAATCGATTTTTCTCTCACATTGATGTTTCTCACTTTTTCTCCCTCCCTTACCCTCTCTCTAAGAAAAAAATTAGAATCCTCTGGAGAAGAAAAAGAAAGCTTTTAGGTCGAGATATCAAAAGTGATGCTCCAAAGAAATGCTGGAGTCTATAACAGTAATAAAAATAGCCAACATATAACCTAAGCATTTGATATATATTCATTTAACTCATCTTTACAGACCTTATGAAGTAGGTATCAATTTCCTCATTAAAAAATGTTGAGACTCAGGAAAGCTTAATAAATTACCCAAGGTCACAGCTGTAAGTGATGGATCTGAGGTCCAAATCTAGGAAGTCTAATTCTAGAAACCATGATCTTAATCATCCCATAGTGCTTCAGAAACAGGGAGATCACCCAAAATATCAAAAAGCAGAGGTATTGCCTAGCTGGTCTGGCTCAGTGGATAGAGCATAGGCCTGTAGACTGAAGGGTCCTGGGTTCGATTCCAGTCAAGGGCACATGCCTGGGTTGCGATCAATGATTCTCTCTCATCATTGATGTTTCTATCTCCCTCTCCCTTCCTCTCTGAAAAAAAACAAACAAACAAACAAACAAAAAAAAAACACAGAAGTATGCAGGCCAGGGATTTGCTCCTTTCAAAAGGCACATGGCAGGGCTCTGGTCCACTAGAAAAGGAGGAATTAAAACAGGACAGGCCAGCCTGACAGGCAATCAGCCCTCTGACCTGGTGGAAGTGGATACAGGTGGGGTGATCCGTCACAGCAGAGCCTGACACCTAAGGCTGTGTCAGAGCCCCAAGGCACCTGGAAACCTAAGGCTGTGTCAGAGCCCCAAGGCACCTGGAAGTCTGCGACTGCACAACCCAGTCTTTATGGCCCTGGGTTGAAAAGATACTCTCAAATATCACAGACGCCAATAGCTTCCTGGTGCTCTTCAGGGATGCTCTTTATATGGTAAAAAAAAAAAAACAACAACAACAACAACAACAACAACCATGCAGCAGCTTTCTGGGGCAAAACAATGTTAAATTAACACCACAGAGTAGAACAGTCTCAGGAATGCACATAAACAGGGGATGCTACTCTGTGCCTCTCCGTTCTCTCTTCTGAGAAGGTTGAATTCAAAAGTTTAACAACATCCATTCACAAACATTTATCAAGTACCCGCTGTGTATAAAGCCCAGTGAAGGCACCATGTGATGCCCACAGATAACAGAGGCGAAGATCCCATGCACTAACTGGGTCCTAACACCAGGCGTCTGTGCTCAGGGCTGGAACTCGGGAGAAATCACAGCTCATGTCTCTGTGAACGACCCCACCAGAGCTTCCTAAGCTGGCCTTCCTGCACCCAGTTACCTCGGAAAAGTGCAAAGCTAACATGGCCAGTTTGACAAGCACGTGTTAAATATTTAAAATATGCTGGATGTGCCCTGCCAGTGTGGCTCAGTTGGTTGGGTGTTACCCCCATGCACCAAAAGGTTATTGGTAAGATTCCCTGTCAGGGCACATGCCCGGGTTGTGGCCTCGATCCCCAGGTAGGGGGCGTTCAGGTGGCAGCTGATTGATGTTTCAATCTCACATCGATGTTTCTCTCTCTCTCTCTCTCTCTCTCTCTCTCTTCTTCTCTCTCTAGAAATCAATTATATATATTGATGCATATATATACATATGCTTTAAAAATATATATATATAGCAAAAAGTAAAATATGCTGGGTGCACCACCCACAGGGTAAGCAGGAAGGTCCAAACTCCTTGCCACGTCACTCAGTCCCAACTTGCCTTCCTGGCCCTTCTCACGACTGTCCGCAGCACGTTCTCTGGCCACCCCAGACTGGACCTTTCCAGATGCATCTCACACGTTCGTGCCCCAAGGCCTTTTCTCCTGGACTTTCTACATGCAGCCCCTGCCTCTTCTCTCTGCTTGTTGCATGCCTGACTCAGATGGCACTTCTTTGAACCTTCCCTGGCCTCTGGCAGGCCCCACAGCGCCCCTAGCACCCCAGGCCCTTAGTTCTACAGCACCTGCCACGGGGGGGTCACACATCTCCATTTTCCCACTACACGAAGTCCTCCGTTGCCAAAGTTCTGGAAGGGCCAGATCCAGCACAGTACCCAGCACACAGCAGGCTCGATAAATGCTCCTGATTGGAGAATGACTAATTATATAGAAATTATACAGAAATACAGTCCTGTAATTAATTAGGGAGGAGTCATGGAAGTCTTTCGTATTCCTTATAATAACCCAATGAAGGGGGTGCAGTGGTCATCTCCATCTTATAGGAGATGGAACTTGACCTCGGAGCGGTCAGGTAACTTCCCCAAGAAGATGCTTAGTAAGTCCTGGAGGTGAGACCCTACCCAGGCCCCCACCCCCACCCCAAGGCTGCCACTTCCCCCATCACCACTCTCTACCACAGCAGTTCTCCCTGGGTGCCTCTGCCTCCAGGGGACACAGACAAGGTCCCCAGACATTCTGGAGGGAGGGGGGCACTGGACACTGGCATCCAGTGAGCGGAGGCCAAGAACCCCAAAGCACCGGACCTTCCTCACAGCAAATAACTATCTAGCCCAATGTCACCAGTGCCAAAGCTGGGAAACCTGCTCTGGCACACACTGAAGAAAATGCCCATAGCTGGGGAGGAGCACTCACCTCTCAGGATCACCGATGCTGTTATCTGCTACCATGGCCTTTAACACGTCCGCATTTGCTAAGGGGGAATAAATGTAAAGAATGAGGATAGCACGAGAAAGAGGAGCAATCACAGAATTATCACATCAGAAAAGCTGTTGGAATAACTCCTGACTGAGCTCATTCAGTTCACAGATAAGGCCCTGGGGCCCCGGAGAAGGGAGGGAACCCCGGGACAGGGCACCACCTGCCAATACCCTTCCCCAGGTGGGAACTGAGGATGAGTGATGGAGAATCGACAGAGGAAGCAGCTCCAACAGAGAGCTGTTCCCTACCCATCACCCAGTCTGACACAGAAGACACTGCCTCCTCCTCTCAAACCGAAGGGAACACAGACATGCTCCACCGCATCCAGCTCACTTTGCTGGGTATGTAAGAACATGTATGTCTTAGGAGACCTGTGTGCTAATGACTTCTATGTGCCTAAATAATAACCTCTGAACCCTGCCATGTCGTTTCAAGCGTATCCCACATAAAATCCCACGCGTAATATAATTTTCCCGGTGGGTCGTTTGGCTTGCCTCTGCATCCTTAACCACACAGGCCAGGTCGCTTAAAACTTTGTGTTGGTCACACCTACAACTTACCTAGCATGGACTAAGTTACATTATACTCCTAATGTTAATTTTTTTCCATTGCTTTTCAGAGAGAATGGAAGGGAGGGAGGGTGGGGGGAGG